GTCCATGCTGCTAACTAATGGGCAGTATACTGAGGTGTAGCTGTAAAACAATACAAAAAAATTGAAAAATGTTTTTTGTGTATGTTTGTGAGAAACTAACCTGTAGAAAGGTCTGCCAGGTAAGCCCAGAGGGTCTATAAAGGCTCTCTCCAAGTACATAAGCTGATCGTTCATGATCCGTAGCTGAAGAGGACTGCACATACACAATCCTTTGTTTATATAGGTACATTTTCAACTCACTGGAGTAAGAATTGTATGATTACTCAACAAGAATATCCTTGTTTGGTGAAGGCAGAAAAACATGGCATTGAAACCAGAATTTCTTCGTTAGACTTCCAGGATTATCCTAATTAGGTGAACAAGAAGAACCAAGTTGGCAGAACTTGTAAATCTTAGTTAAGTCAACTACAGTTGCAAGAGTTGAGAAAACTCAAAAATCTCTTGCATCATGTTGCCTTGAAATTTTAAGTTTTCTCAACTTTTTCTTTTTTACAGTGTGTTATTTCTATGCATTCTCTTTAAGTGTCCTTATACAAAAATCACACAAAGAAGTCACAAAAGATGAGTGCAAGAACACCAATGTTGTTTCCAGTTAACACAGTATCAGATTTATTACTATAAATCTGTATGGATTTTATTTTTGATTATTATTTGTGAAATTATTGTCATATTTTTGCCTTTACACTGTAACTTTTCCTGGGAGCCGGAACACCTGATTGTCACTTAAGCTTTTCTCTTTTTTACAACTGTTGTTCGAATGTCTGGGCTTCATTGCCTCGTAATGTCATTCCTTGTATGTCATAACTTTGACAGCTCAGCATTTTAAACATATGATAAATGTTTGACAGTGTTTCCACAACATGAGATCATTTTATCATGCAATAAACTTTGCTGTGTACCTTTCATTTGACTAAATTTGTCAAAAAATCTGCGTGCATAACTAAAATCAGTGATCTTTGTGCCCACATGTGCCGAGTTGAGTGGACTTGTAACCACAAATATTATTAAAAAACATTAAAAAAAACAGATTTATTTGTGGAGCCACATCATAAAACAGAAACCTGAAGAAGTATAAAGATTTCTCAAGCTTTGATGAAGCATTTCACATTGTTCTGCAGGTCTAGATGTTCTGGAAAACATCCAGATAAACATGGGTTCTCATGTGTGTTAAACTGGAGATCTTATAATTGTCAAGTTAATTACATATTTTTATATTGTCTTCATGCAGGCGGTGTGAGGGTCATGGCAGCAGCTTGGACAGTGAAAGCTGCTATGCTGATCTGACGCTTGACTTCCTCCCAGGCCTTTGCTGGGTCAGCTGAGTTCTCAATGTCAAATAAAGCATCATAGATCCCAGGGAAAGACTCCCCTGCATATTTATTGTGGCTGCTGGGAGCAAAAATCACATGCCTGAAAATAGAACAGATGAATTAAATGGAAGTGTATCGTTAGGGGAATGCACACACTGGTATTTCAAGAGAAATACATGTGTGCTATTTCTGAAAAAAAGAAGTTCAAGAGTGGGAACAAGTAAAGAGGACAAGAGTCTTGACATCTAGTGCCTCTCACAGTCAGCTGTGTTTTCAAATGTATAAATCTGAGAAGCAGTCATGCATACAGTTTAAAAGGATCAAAATAATATTTAAAATTTGTTTCAGGAGCCAAGAGTCTGAAGGACACTGTAGTTATCGTGTAATTATTAAAATATAATTATGAATGTTTATAAAAAGAGTGACAGCTGTCTGCACGAAAACATCACATGACAGAATTTATAAATACTTCTAAAAAAATCTAGAAACTACTACACAGTATTTGTGCCATTTAGCATTTTCTTTTTACTGTTAAATGCACACATAGGATGACTAAACCAAGGTAAACTTGGCTAGTCTTGGGTTTAAAATATCACATTTAGAAAAGAGTAAAATTTTCTAATGTACAGCATAGATAGATACAGAATATATTCAGTGACAAAGACCGCAGACGAAGCAGTTTTAAAGATTATCTGTCTTGTGAGGTACCCAATAGCACAAGTGTTTTATTGGAGACTCATATGACATAGGAGCCCATCCCAAAGTGTACTTTGAGACTGGATCAGTAAACTAAAGAGCTGAGCTGCACTATGTTTAAATTCACAGAAATAGAGGGTGAAGTGGACATCCTAGAAAGCCCAATGAGATGCAATGAGTGTTACACTTTTCTCATAATAGCCGTTTTCTCAATTTAATGCTTTGTAGTTTCACATGTTATGCCTTGTAAATGTAAACCAAAGAAATAAATCATTCTGTTCTAAGCAGCCACAGTAAGGTGGCGACAACACTAACAAGGCTGCTCAATCTTGAGAAGCTGCAACTTAAAAACATTGCTACTGCTTTGTGATGTATTAGTTTTAA